GAGACATTTCCTCCCTCTTCCAAGGCCAATCTGTCTCCTCCCTCCTCCCTCTGAAGAGAGAGAGTCATCAATGATTCCTTCTCCTTCTTGTGTCTTTTATCACTCCTCCTCCACTGATTCTCAAACTGAGATCTTTTCCTTCTTAAATGCAAGTAAGCAGATGGACAGACACATACATTGACTCAGCCCACCATCCCCTCTGCTTTAGTGCTTTCCTCCTTTTCAGTATCAAAGTCTTTGAAAAAAGTGTATTTGTGGTCTCATTTTTTAACCTCTTTCTCCCTCTTTAATCCACTCCAGTCTGCATTCTGGCCTCTTCATGCCACGTAAGCTACTTCTGCTGAGGTTATTCATGACTTTCCTATCACTAATCCTATGGACAAATTTCAGTACTTATCTTACTTGACCTCCCAGCAGCAGTAGCCCCTGCTGACCTCCTTGAGATCCTCTGCTCTGTTGGGTTCCATGACACCTCTCTTTCCTGGTGTCCCTTTCATCTATGTGGCCCCTCCTTCTCAGGCTTGTTTGTTGGCTCTTCTTTGGCCATTAAATACTGGGGTGGGGGTGTTCCCCAGGCTTGACATGCAATCTTATTTTTGCCTGTGAATTTTAGAATCAGCTTGTCCATTTCTGCAAAAATGGCAGCTGGGATTCTGACAGGGATTGTGTTGAATCTGTAGATCAGTTTGGAGGGTATTGTCATTTTAATAATATCAAGTCTTCTGATCTATGAACACGGGACATCTTTTCATTTGTTTAGGTCTTACATGATTTCTTTCAACCATTTTTTATAGTTCCCTGTGTACAAGCTTTCTTTTGTTAAATTTATTGTTTTCCTAATTTAATTTTTGGATTATTTACTGCTAGTGTATAGCAGTACAACGAATTTTTGTATATTGATCTTGTTTCCTGAAACCTTGCTGAAATTGTAGGTTTTTTTTTCTTTCTTTTTCAACAGGGTCTCCCTTCGTCACCCGGGTTGGAGTGCAGTAGCACAATCTCAGCTCACTGCTACCTCTGCCTACCAGGCTGAAGCAATTCTCCTACCTCAGCCTCCTGAGTAGCTGGGACTATAAGAGTGTGCCACCACGCCCGGCTAATTTTTTGTAGTTTTGGTAGAGACAGGGTTTTGCCACGTTACCCAGGCTGGTCTTGAACTCCGGAACTCAAGCGATCTACCCACCTCAGCCTCCCAAAGTGCTGAGATTACAGGGCATGAGCCACCACACCTGGCCCTAATTTGAATATGTGTAGAGTTCTTAGGATTTTCTACATACAACGTCATGTCACCTGCAAATAATAGTTTACTTTCTTTTCAATCTGGAAGCCGTTAATTTCATTTTCTTGCTTAATTGCTCTGAATGGAACCTTGAGTACAATGTTGAATAGAAATGGCAAGAACAGACATCTTTGTCTTATTCCTAATCTTAGGGGGAAAGCACTCAGTCATCCACCATTAAGTATAATGTTAGCTGTGGGTTTTTCACTGGTAACAACTTTATCAGGTTGATAAAGTTCCCTTTTATTTCTAGTTTGCTGAGTGTTTTCAATATGAAAAGGTGTTGGATTTTGTCAGATGCTTTTTTTTTGTCTTTGAGATAACCATTGGTTTGTGTTCTTTGTTCTATTAACATCTTGCATTACATTGATCAATTTTCTTAGGTTAAACTCAATTTGTATTCTTGGGATAAATCCCATTTGGTCATGGTCTACAATCCTTTTTATATATTGCCAGTATTTTGTTATGTAATGTTGCATATATATCCATAAAGGATGTTGGCTTGTAGATTTTTTTTTCTCTTGTGATGCTTTTGGTTATCTTAGTCTAATTTTGGTATCAGGGTAATATTGGTCTCATAGAACAAATTGGCATGTTTTCTGTTTTCTGCTATTTTTGGAAGAGTTTGAAAAGATAAGTGTTAATTCTTCCTTAAATATTTGGTAGAATTCACCAGTAAAGCCATCTGGGCCTGGATTTTGTTTCATAGAAAGTTTTTAACTTACTAATTCAATATCTGTGTGTGTTACAAGTCTATTAAGATTTTGTATTTCTTCTTAAGTCAGTTTAGGTATTTGAGTCTTTCTGGAAGTTGGCCCATTCCATCTGGGTTATCTAATTTGTTGGCTTACAAAATTTCATAATTTTCACTTATAATCCTTTTATTTCTGGAAGTTCAGTTGTGATACCCCATCTTTTATTTCTGATTTTAGTAATCTGAATCTTCTTACTTTTAATTTTAGTTAGTCTAGCTAAAAGGTGTCAAATTTTGTTGGTATTTTTAAAGAACTAACGTTTAGTTTCATTGGTTTTCTGTACTGTTTTCTATTCTCTGTTTCATTTATCTCTACTCTAGTCTTTATTATTTCTTTCCCCCTGCTTGCTTTTGGTTTTGTTTGCTTTTTTAAAAAATTTCTTTACTAACATGAAAGACCTAAGGAAAACAAATTCTTAAAGTGTAAGTTTAGGTTACTGATTTGAGACTTCTCCACTTCTTCTTCTCTTCCTTCTTCAATAGATTTTATTTTTTAGAGTAGTTTTAGGTTCACAGTAAAACTGAGCAAAAAGTACAGAGAGTTCTCATATACTCCCTGTCCCCGCATCCCTCATACAATCTTTCCCACTATTGACATGCTGTACCACACTAGTACATTGTGGTGACATTTGTTACAACTGGTAGACTGACATGGACACATCATCACCCGAAGTCCATAGTTTACATTAGGGCTCACTTTTGGTGGTGTCCATTCTATGGATTTTGATTGCTGTAAAATTATACGTATGCACGATTATAGTATATAGAATAGTTTCACTGCCCTAAAACTCTTCTGTGCTCTATTAATTCCTCCCTTCCCCCAAGCCCTGGAAACCACTAATCTTTTTACTATCTCCTTGTTTTTGCCTCTTCCAGAATGTCACACAGTTGGAATCATACAGCATGTAGCCTTTTCAGATTGGCTTCTTTTAGTAACATGCATTTAAAGTTTCTCCGTATCTTTTTGTAGCTTGATAGCTTATTTCTTTTTAGCATTGAATAATAGTCCACTGTCTGTTTGTACCACAATTTATGAGTCCATTCACTCTCTGAAGGACAACTTGCTTCCAAGTTTTAGCAATGATGAACAAGGCTGCCATAAACATTCACATGCAGGTTTTGGTGTGGACAGAGGTATTCAACTCATTTTGGTAAATATCAAGGAGTGCGATTGCCGGATCCTATGGTAAAAGTATATTTTGTTTTGTAGAAAACTGCTAGACTGTATTCCAAAGGGGCTGTCTCATTTTACATTCCCACCAGCAATGAATGAGAGTTCCTGTTGTTCCACATCCTTACCAGCATTTGGTATTGTCAGTGTTTTGGATTTTGGCCATTCTGATAAGTGTGTAGTGGTATCTTTTCATTTTTTCATTAATTAAAAAAACTTTTGTAGAGATAAGATCTGTCTCTGTTGCCCAGCTTGAAGTGCAGTGGCATAATCACAGCTCACTGCAGTGTTGAATTCCTGGGCTCAAGTGATCCTCCCATCTCAGCCTCCCAAGTAGTTATGACAACAGGCACACATCATTCTCAACTAATTTTTTATTTTATGTTTCTGTAGAGACAGGGTCTCTGTATGTTGCCCAGGCTGGTCTCAAACTCCTGGCCTAAGGCAATCGTCCTGCCTTGGCCTTCCAAAGCTTTGGGATTATAGGCATGGGCCATCATGTCTGGCTCTATCTTTCCTTTTTTTTTTGTTTTAAATAGAGGCATTTATAACTATAAATTTCCCTTTAAGCACTGCATTAGCTGCATCCAATACATTTTGGCATGTTGTGATTTTGCTTTCATCCCTCTCAAAGTATTTTCCAATTTCCTTTGTGATTTCTTCTTTGGCCCTTGGTTATTTAGGAGTGTGGTTTTAATTTCAGTGTATTTATGAACTCCTCAACTTTCCTTCTATTGTTGATTTCTAATTTCATTTTATCATGGTCAGAGGATATACTCTGTATGATTTCAGTCCTTGCAAATTTGTTGAGATTTGTTTTATGGGGCAATCTTATCTTTGGATAGAGCTTTATTTGATACCTATTTGGCATGTCCAGTTGGATACCTTGAAAGGATCTTGAAATCAGCAAGCACAAGATCACACTCATGATGCTCCACCCCCCAAATCACTTTTCTTTTCGTATTCCCCATCTTAATGAAGGTGCCACTATCCCATGAGCTGCTTTGGTCAGAAACCTAAAATCATCCTTGATATCTTCCTCTTCCTTTTTTCCCTAAATTCAATCCATCACTGAGCCTAGTTGATTTTACTTTTGCAGCTCTCTTACATCTAGCCACTTTGTTCCATATCCATTGCCAATACCATAGTCCAAGCTATGACTGTCTGTTACAAAAAGTACTATAATTTTCCTTAGTCTAAGCTATCACCATCTTTGCAGGGACTACTGCAATTTTCTTACTAATTGGTTTCCCAACCTCTACTTTTGCACTCTTCCAATCCATCTTTCATGTTGCAGTCAGTTTCTATTTTGAAAATGTACTGATCTTGTCAACCTTCTGCTTAAAATTCCACACCATCAGGAAAAGACCCCAAATCCAACATGGCGCCCAAACCTTGCATAGTCTGGTTCCTGCTGGTATCTGTAGCCTTATCTCACTCCTTTGCTATCTGCCCTCCAGCCACACTGGCTTGCTTTCAATTCCTTGACTGCCTCATCCTGCCTTCTGCACAGAGCCTTTGTACGTGCTTATTCTCTTTTCCTGGAATTTTTCCTTCCTGCTTCACTTAGTTAAATCCTCTGTATTCTTCAGACCTCCCTCAAACCTCACTTTATGAAGGAATTTTTTTTTTTATGAGCCAGAAATCCTACCTGTGTTTACTAAAGTCACCCTGGCCAGAGAGGGCCTCAACGAATATTTGATAAATACAAAGACAAATCCCTCAGCCCAGACTCAGCTTCCACCTTGGATCTCTTCCCCATCCCTGCTTCAGAACAGAACCCAGGTCAGACTCACCGCAGGGTCTCCAGGAGGCAGCGAGGGCGTCTCAGGGTCTTACAAAGACTCTTCACTGCAGAGTGGCTCAGCGAGTTTCCACTTAGGTCCAGCTCCTTCAGGTTTCTGGTGACCTTGAAGACGGAGAAGAGAATCTCCCAGTAGGCATCCGTGACTGGTACCCACCTGAACCTGAGGGGCAGAGAGGACAGGAGAGATGTGATGTGTCTGGCAGGGATTTGAGGTGCCCAGCTCTGCACAACACAATTGGGCTTTGTCCTCCTGAGCACCAGGCCACAGCGGGTAGTGCCATCTCCAGGACTGACCAGCCTCCCTGCCTGTCCGCCCCTGTCACCCAGGGCTAGGTCCCTCTCCTCCATGTGGCTCCTCATTCTACAGCCCTTACCATAGCACACTGAAGTGTTCATCTTGTATGTCTGTTTCCACCTCAGTCTGGGAGTTCTTTGAGGGCAGGGACAGACATTTGTCTTTTTTTTTTTTTTTTTTAATCTGCACTGCTCAGCATAGGGCCTGGCTTCTGTGCTGGGCACTGCAGATAACAAAACAATTTTTCATTAAAAAATTTGACAGCCTTCCTCCCTTTGACGCAGACACACCTGTGTTCCTTTGGCACAGACATTCTGGAGTCCCAGTGCCCAGGAAAGAAGATGGGAGGCAGGAGCAGAGCCTGGGAGAGATGGCCTGAGGAAGGTGTTGTCATGGAAGACTGTGTATGATCATATGCACTACTGTCCAGGTTGGCTCACAGGGGACCCGATCCCCTTCCCAGGATAACAAGATCATGGAGAGGGTCTGCAGGAGAGAGACGGCTGTGGGGAGCGCCCTAGGAGGGAATATTTGCAGCCTGAGGGGAGGGGATGATGGGCTTTGTCTGAGAGTGTTAGAGTGGACTCTGACTCATGGGATTTCATTTCATCGATCTGTTTTCACACACTACTTTGATGACCTCATCTACCTCCAAGGCTTCGACTACTCAAAGCTCTATTCCAAATTTCAGACTGAGTTTTCTATTTTCTGGCCGGATATCCCCACCTCGACATCCCAGTAATTCTTTGATCTAATTTGTCCCAACAAGTCCCCAACCTTAATTCATCTTTCTCCGTAAGTCTGCAGAGCCACGTGGGGGAAAGAAGCAGAGGCAAGGAGCTGCCTGCACGTGGGCTCTGCTCCTCTGTGCCTCACTCCATCTCCTCAGCTGCAAAAAGAGGACGGCAACAGCACCTGCTGCAGAGGGGTATGTGAGAATTAAAAGCTACTACAGAGTATCCCGAAAGTCCTAGAGCCGGCCGGGCGCAGTGGCTCAAGCCTGTAATCCCAGCACTTTGGGAGGCCGAGGTGGGTGGATCACGAGGTCAGGAGATCGAGACCATCCTGGCTAACATGGTGAAACCCCGTCTCTACTAAAAATACAAAAAACTAGCCGGGCGTGGTGGCGGGTGCCTGTAGTCCCAGCTACTCGGAGGCTGAGGCAGGAGAATGGCGTGAACCTGGGAGGCGGAGCTTGCAGTGAGCCGAGATCGCGCCACTGCACTCCAGCCTGGGAGAAAAAAAAAAAAAAAAAAAAAAAAAAAAAAAAAAAAGAAAGTCCTAGAGCCGTTTTAAGTTGTAATAACTGTGGAAGTACAAGTACTACAAACATACAGAAAAAGCCAGGTGAGTGCAGTGGCTCTTGCCTGTAATCCCAGTACTTTAGGACGTAGAGGCAGGAAGATCGATTGAGCCCAGGAGTTTGGGCAACATAGTAAGATCCTGTTTCTACAGAAAATTAAAAAAATTAGCCGACGTGGTGGTGTACACCTGTAGTCCCAGCTACTCAGGAGGCTGAGGCAGGAGAATGGATTGAACCTGGGAGGCCAAGGTTGCAGTGAGGTATGGTCATGCCACTGCACTATTCCTGGGAGACACAGCGAGATCTCATCTCAGACACACACCCACACAGAGTAGCCATAAATGAAAGTTTATTTGAATTTCTTTTACATTTAGTTTTGTGAAACTTGAAAAATACATTTTATATTTTTTATTTCCGTCAGCATTTGCCATCCTTAATCAAAGTGACTGGAAAAAAAATAAAAATTTATATTTGAAAATGCACAATGCTTAATCACACGCCGAATACCTGGAACCTCCCATCCTGCCATCTTCATTTAGTATCTCTGGTTGGTTCTCCTCTTCCTTCCCACAGCCCTTGGCCAACCTCTACCCCTTCTTCCTGAACTTTCTTGTTTATAGTAGACGGCTTATTCTTCTGTCTGCCTAGACTAGCCAATTCAGTTCCTTGAAAATTTCTCCTCCCACTTGCGGCTGAAGCCTCTGACTTTCCCATGGCATTCTCTTAAGCTCCACTTGCTCCCGCCCATCCCAAACTCTCCTCTCTGGCCTGGTGTTCTCGGTTCCCTTTGCCCATCCCAGTCCCCATCCCCTGGCCAGCCACCATCTGGCCTCTGTCTGTAGCTGCTTGGAACTCTTTGAAGGTTTCCCATCTGTCCACTGCTACTTGCAGTACCTGTATCCAGGTCCTTTAAAACCTACCTCACATTTATAACTATGAACAACTAGAAACAGCTTACAATGGCCAAGAACAGGAGAATGGTCAAATCAGCCATGGCACTTTCCCTATGGAATAGCATGTGGTCGTTCAAAATGGTGTTGTATCGGACTACTTAAAAATATATGAAGGGCTGGGCATGGTGGCTCACGCCTGTGACCCCAGCACTTTGGAAGGCCTAGGCAGGAGGATTATTTGAGGTCAGGAGTTCGAGACCAGCCTGGCCAACATGGTGAAACCCCGTTTCTACTAAAAAGACAAAAAAATTAGCTGCGTGTGGCGACGCGTGCCTGTAATCCCAGCTACTCTGGAGGCTGAGGCATGAGAATTGCTTGAATCTGGGAGGCAGAGGTTGCAGGGAGCCCAGATCATGACACTGCACTCCAGCCTAGTGACAGAGCGAGACTGTCTATCTGTCTCTCTCTCTGTATCTCTCTCTCTCTCTACACACACACACACACACACATATGTATATGAAAGGCTGGGCATGGTGGCTCACGCCTATGATCCCAGCACTTTGGGATGTCCAGGTGAGCAGACTGCTTGAGCCCCGGAGTTTGAGACCAGCTTGGTTAACGTAGCGAAACCCCATCTCTATGCAAAAATTTTACAAAAATTCTCGTTGCATGTTGGCATGCTCCTATAGTCTCAGCTTCTAGGGAGGCTGAGGTAAGAGGATCCTTTAAGCCTGGGTGGTCCAGGCTACAGTGAGCTGTGACTGCATCACTGCACTCCAGCCTTGGTGACAGAGCGAGACTCTGTCTCAGACAACAACAAACCAAAAAAAAAAACAAAACCCCACACCCACACACAAGAAGATAGCCTTGATATATGAAGAAAATAAAACTGACTATAAAATAAAATGTACAATATGGTTTGATTTCGCCATAGAAATGTACATAGAAAAAAGACTGGGGTTCTTACAATTGACCACTAATTTTTTTTTTTTTGAGACTGAGTTTTGCTCTTTTGCCCAGGCTGGAGTGAAGTGGCACAATCTCAGCTCACTGCAACGTCTGCCCCTGAATGGTCAAGCGATTCTCCTGCCTCAGCCTCCCGAGCAGCTGGGATTACAGGTGCCTGACACCATGCTCGGCTAATTTATGTATTTTTAGTAGAAACAGGGTTTCACCATGTTGGCCAGGCTGGTGTCAAACTCCTGATCTCAGGTGATCCACCTGCCTCGGCCTCCCAAAGTGCTGGGATTACAGGTGTGAGCCACCACACCCGGCCAATTTTTAATGATGGTCATTTCATTTCAGAGTGATAGAATTCTGGTTGATACTACTTTTCATCTTTTTGCTTATGTACATATCCTTTCTTTTTTTTTTTTTGAGACAGAGTCTGGCTCTGTTGCCCAGGCTGGAGTTCAGTATTGCGATCTCGGCTGATTGGAAACTCTGTCTCCCAGATTCAAGTGATCCTCATGCCTCAGCCTCCCTAATAGCTGGGATTACAGGCGTGTGCCACCATGCCCAGATAATTTTTGTATTTTTTAGTAGAGATGGGGTTTTGCCATGTTAGCCAGGCTGGTCTTGAACCCCTGGCCTCAAGTGATCCACCTGCTTCGGCCTCCCAAAGTGCTGGAATTACAGGTGGAGGCACTTCACCCAGCCTACACATCTTTTTTTTTTTTCCCATAATGAACATGAATTTCATTGTGAGAAAAAGTTTTAAAAATTTGAATATGAAGACCCACATCAAACATTTCTTCCTCTGAGAATCTTTATTGTCCACTCATGTGATCACTCCCTTCCTTGGGCCACCACAGTACCTTGTCCATACCTCTACTGTTGTAGGCACCACACTCTGTTGTCATTAAATGAATGTTTGTCTTCTCCCCTATTGTTTGAGCTCCTTAAGGCAGGTATTGCGCTTTTTAATCTGTGATCTGTAGGGCCTGGCATAGAATCAGTGCTGAATAAATACTTATGGAATGAATCATCTAAAGCAGGACATAGACACATACCAATACCATGTGATCAATACTGCGACAGAAGTCGGGGAACTGGGATGGGAAAGTTCTCAGGGTTGCCGGGCTGGAGAATGGTTAGAGGAAGCTGCTCTTACACAACCAGAGGGTGGGTTTCAGGTTGAGTGCCTGGGGCAATGGTGGCACCATGGTCACAAATAATTATGAAGTCAGTTTTGCAGGGAAAAATAGGAAACTCTTTCTGCGAGCTGCTGGGGAAGATCTCAGGGCCAATGTCGTTGTCATTGAGAGGGTTCCTGAAGCAGCTGGAGGAGCAATTTCTCTGAGAGAATGAATGCCCAGAGAGAGGAGCAGGGGTAGGGGGGCTGCCTGATCCTTGGGGAGTGTGGGGGTAGCTAAGGTCAGCAGGAAGGTGGGAGCACGTCCAGGAGAGAAGGTGGGCGGTCATTCTAAGGGTAGAAGGAGAGGTGCAGACATGGCGGGGTGCAGTGGCCTCTCCAGAAGCAAGCAAGGCTTGCCCCACAGCCGGGCACTGCAGAGGGGCTTAGGTGGACAGAGCATGGTGGTCAGATTGGGTAGTTAGAAGTCACTGGCGACCCTGATCCTTTAGCCACCCCTGCCCCTGGCCAGGCACAGGGAGCACGCCTCTGGTGCTCAGGTCACTCGGGCTTATGGACCGACAGAGGAGCTGGAGACATGGGTATTTTGGGTACTCACAGGACTATCCCGGTGGGGCTCCATGCTGGTCTGTGCTGCCTGCCCTCAATCAGCTGAAGCTTCTTCACGTGGCGGCAGAATTGAATGCAGAAAGTGCACACCAGGAGCTCCATGTCTGTTTCCACACACATGCCCATTTCTTGGAAATTGGCCATCATTTGTGTCAGGAACATTTTGTTCTGAGTCTCGTACAAACAGTGGAGGAAGTCCAGAGAGTGTGGCTGCAGCAGGGGCCACAGGGACGGGACCCACTGCATCAGGTTCCTCCCCTGAGACAGCCGGCAGTTAAAGATGTTCTCCATCGCTCTCTTCCCCTCATCACTTAACAGGCCCAATAGGAAACGTGTGGTTGGTGCCCCAAACAGGCCATGCGTTCCATATGCTTCTAGCAACTTTTCCAAATCTATGATGCAATTAGCATGTTTACTTCTCCCCTTCTTATCCTCCAAGGCATAGGACATTGCTGCAAAGAACTCCTGGAAACAGAGGTGAATGAAGCTGTAGCTCAGAGGGATGGGGTGCTCTTGAAGAATACCCATCTTTAAGAGGGTAGAGATGATGGCCCCATCTAACTCATGTTTCCTGAGGTCATCTCGGCTGAAAAGGGTCTTTTTTTGCCAGATACCCTCAGCAGCCAGAGAGCAGACGTCCCCGAGCTGGGGCCCCAACGGCTGAGCTTGGAGAGCCTGGGAAAGGTAATGCAGACAGAGGGTCGTGGTGGTCTTGGAGGTCAGTGTGAGTTTTTCCTTCCGCTTCATCTGCTCCATCAGGCAGGTGCAGGCCAGCCAGGACACCCAGGGCACGAGACATAGGGCCCAGAGCTCTTTGTTTGTTTTGATCAACCCAAAGGCTCTAATTGCTTGCCTTTCATCTGTGAAATATTTGTAGAAATATTCCCTCCTGCTGGACTCAGAGAACCCCAGGACCTCTACCCAGCGTGCCTGCTCCAAAGAAGGAATGAGGTTCTGCAGAGCTGTGGTCCGAGCCGTGATCAGGAAGGATGCCTCGGGAAGTATGGTTTTCCCCAGCAAACTGCCCAGCAGTGCATCCGCCGGCTGCGGCTGGCTCCAGTGCAGACAGAGCTCGGAACTCGACTCCTGCAAGACCCATCTTGGCTCATCCACACCGTCGAGGATGAAGAGCAGCCGCTCTGGCCTGGACAGGATCTGTCTAATGGGAGCCTGAGCGGCTGTCCAGTCTTTCCCGATGAGTTCAGCGAGACTCACCGCCTCGCACTGGGCCAGCTCTCTGCAGCTGAGGTAGAAGACATGCTGGAAGCGGTCCCCATACAGCTGGCCTCTCCCCCAGGCTTCCCTCACCTGCCTGGCCAGTGTTGACTTCCCAATTCCAGCAGCCCCCTGCAGTATGACTATGCGAGGTTCTTGGGTATCCAGGCCTGGGCCAAATAAGTCTCTGATCTCAATTAAACGTCCTCGATCCTCCTCCACATCCTCCTCCGCATCATGAGGCCAGCTTCCCTTGACCAGCGGCTTATGGTTTCTGGGGTGAGGTCTTTGTAGAAGTAGCAGCTGTGTGAAATTTTGGTTCAAATCCTCATTTTTCCAGGACCATGTGGAACAGAGGCTCTCTCTCGCAGAAGGCTCCCATGGGTGGTGGTGGGGCTGTAGGCTGGTGTGCACCTGTGGGGGCGTTCCTACTGCTGCCTCCCATGGAGGCCTGCCTTTCTCTGATTCCTCTCTCTCTCTTTCTCTGATTCCTAAGTAAGGCAGGGAAAGAAGGAACATAAAGGTAGAGAATAGAAGAATGAGTGAATTAATTAAACAACTGTTTTAGGCACCTATTCCAAGCCACACACTGCGCTGGCTGCAGACACTGGTATGTTCTCGCCATGCGGCGGAAGGGACATGTGCTTTGGGGTAGAAGATCCCAGTTCAAGTCTTGACTCAACCAAGTCACACTCCCTGAATGACTTTCCTTCACTGAATATTTATCAAGGGCTTACTATGTGCCAGGTGCTGCTACGGGGGCTGGGGATAAAGAGTGAACAAAACAGACACAACTCTCTGTCCTCACTAAGCATGTGATGCTGGCCATTAGCCCCTGTGAGCCTCAGTTTTCTCATCCATAAGCTGGGGGTTGTAGGAGGTCATGGAGTTGTGGAGGAGATACCAGAGTGTGTAGCAGATGCTGACAGCATCCCCTGAGCACCTGCTGTTGCGGTACCTGCCAACCGTGTCTCTCGGCAATGGCTGTGGTCATCTGTCTGAGGGCTCTTTCTGCCTGTAAGCCAGGCAGGCCAGAAATACTGGGGGATAGTTCTCCAGTCCAGGAGATGCCCTTAGTGGATGACAGATGGGGGTCCCTTGCCCCCAGTGCAGATAACACTCAGGCGTGTTCTCACCGTCTCCCAGACATCCGCAGCAGCATGGAGCCTGCGGATGCAATAACATTCATAGACTCAAAGTAAAGGGATGGGGAAAAATCCACCAAGCAAATGGAAAACAAACAAAAGCATGGATTGCCATTCTAATCTCAGACCAAACTTCAAATCAACAACATTCAACAAAGACAAAGAAAGGCATTATATAATAATAAAGGGTTCAATTCACAAAATATTACAATTTTTTTTTATTTTTTTTTTTTTTTTTTGAGACGGAGTCTCGCTCTGTCGCCCAGGCTGGAGTGCAGTGGTGCGATCTCGGCTCGCTGCAAGCTCCGCCTCCCAGGTTCACGCCATTCTCCTGCCTCAGCCTCCCATGTAGCTGGGACTACAGGCACCCGCCACCACGCCTGGCTAATTTTTTATATTTTTAGTAGAGTTGGGGTTTCACCGTGTTAGCCAGGATGGTCTCGATCTTCTGACCTCGTGATCCACCCATCTTGGCCCCCCAAAGTGCTGGGATTACAGGCGTGAGCCACCGCACCCGGCCAACTTAACTATTATGAATATATATGCACCTAATACAGGAGCACCCAGATTCATCAGACAAGTTCTAAGAGACTGATGAAGAGACTTGGATAACCATATAGTACTAACGGGAGACTTCAACACTCACTGACAGTATTGAACAGATCATCAAGGCAGAATACTAACAAAGATATTTGGGACCTAAATTCGACACTTGACCAAATGGGCCTAACAGACATCTACCGAACTCTCCACCTCAAACAACAGAATATATATTCTTCTCATTTGCGCATGGCATATACTGTAAAATCAACCACACAATATGCCATAAAAAAATTCTCAGTAAATTAAAAAAAAAAAACAAATCATATCAGCCACACTCTTGGACCACTGCACAATTGAAAAAAATCAATACAAAGAAGATAGCTCAAAACCATACAATTCATAGAACTTAAACAACCTGCTCCTGAGTGGTGGTTGGGTAAACAATGAAATTAAGGCAGAAATAAAAAAATTCTTTGAAACCAGTGAGAACAAAGATACAATATACCAAATCTTTGGGACACAGATAAAACGATGTTAAGAGGAAAGTTTATAGCAGTAAATGCCCATATCAAAAAGTTAGAAAAATCTCCAATTAGCAACCTAACGTCGCAAATAGAAGAATTAGAAAAACAAGAGCAAATCAATCCCAAAGCTAGCAGAAGACAAGAAATAACCAAAATCAGAGCTGAACTGAATGAAACTGAGATGGAAAAAACCATACAAAAGATCAACAAAACCAAAAGTTCATTCTTTGGAAGAATAAATAAGATCGATAGACCACTAGCTAGACTAATAAAGAAAAAAACAGATAGAAGATCCAAATAAACACAACAAGAAATGACAAAGAGGACATTACCACTGACCCCACAGAAATATAGAAAACCCTCAGAGACTATTATGAACACCTCTATACACAGAAATTAGAAAAACCTACAATAAATAAATTCCTGGCCGGGCGCGGTGGCTCAAGCCTGTAATCCCAGCACTTTGGGAGGCCGAGATGGGCGGATCACGAGGTCAGGAGATCGAGACCATCCTGGTTAACACGGTGAAACCCCGTCTCTACTAAAAAATACAAAAAACTAGCCGGGCGAGGTGGCGGGCGCCTGTAGTCCCAGCTACTCGGGAGGCTGAGGCAGGAGAATGGCGTGAACCCAGGAGGCGGAGCTTGCAGTGAGCTGAGATCCGGCCACTGCACTCCAGCCTGGGCGACAGAGCGAGACTCCGTCTCAAAAAAAAAAAAAAAAAAAAAAAGAAATAAATTCCTAAGACTGAACTAGGAAGAAATTAAAACTCTGAACAGAGCAATAATGAGTTCTAAAATGGAATCAGTAACAAAAAGTCTAACAACCAGAAAAGGCCAGGACCAGATAGATTCACAGCTGAATTCTACCAGACATATAAAGAAGAGCTGGTACAATTTCTACTGAAATTATTCCAAAAAATTGAGGAGACGGGGACTCCTTTTGAACATAGGTGCAAAAATCTTCAGCAAAATACTAGCAAACTGAATCCAGCAGCACATCAAAAAGCAAATTCACCACAACCGGATAGGTTTTATCTCTGGGATGCATGTTTGATTCAACATATGCAAATCAATAAATGTGATCCATCACATAAACAGAAGTAAAAAAGCCCCCACATGATCATCTCAATAGATGCAGAAAAGGCATTTGATAAAATTCAACATCCTTTAATGTTAAAACTCTCAACAAACTAGACATTGAAGGAGCATACCTCAAAATAATAAGGTCCATTTATGACAAAACCACAGCCAACATCATACTGAATGGGCAAAAGCTGGAAGTATTCTCCTCGAGAACCAGAACAAGACAAGGATGCTCATTCTCACCATCTATTCAACATAGTACTAGAAGTCCTACCCAGAGCAATTAGGTAAGAGAAAGAAGTAAAAGACATTCAAATAGGAAGAGAGGAAGACAAAGTATCTCTGTTTGCAGATGTTATGATTTTACACCTAGAAAACCTCCTAGTCTCTGCCCCATATCTGCTAGATCTGATAAACAACTTCAGCAAAGTTTCAGGATGCAAAATCAATTTCTTCTATTGGGTAATAAGTATTATGTAACATTGTGCAATGTTGGTGCATTTCCATAAACCAACAACATCCAAGCTGATTGCCAAATCAAGAATGCAATCCCATTCACAATAGCCACAAAAAAGTACTTAGGAATACATCTAACCAGGATTGTGAAAGATCTCTATAGCAAGAACTACAAAACACTGCTGAAAGAAATCAGAGATGACACACACACAAAGGGAAAACATTCCATGCTCATGAATAGGAATAATCAATATTGTCAAAATGGCCATACTACTCCAAGCAATTTACAGATTCAATGCTATTCCTATCAAACAACCAATGACATTCTTCACATAATTAGAAAAATAATTCTAAAATTAATATGGAACCAAAAGAGAGCCCAAATAGCCAAAGCAAGTCTAAGTAAAAAATAACAAATCTGGAGGCATCACATTACCTATTTTTAAACTATACTACAAGGCTACAGTAATCAAAACAGCATGCTACTGGTACAAAAGCAGACACACAGACCAATGGAACAGAATAAAATGCCCAAAAATAAAGCTGCATACCTACAACCATCTGATCTTTGATAATGTTGACAAAAACAAGCAATGGGGAAAGGATTCCCTATTCAATAAGTGATGCTGAGATAACTGGCTAGCCATATGCAGAAGATTGAAACTGGACCCCTTCCTTATACAATATACAAAGATCAATGGAAGATGGATGAAAGGCTTAAATATAAAACCTAGAACTTTAAAAACCCTGAAGAAAACCTAGGAAATACCATTCTGAACCTAGGTCCTGGCAAAAATTTCATGAGGAAGATGCCAAAAGCAATTGCAATGAAAACAAAAATTGACAAATGGGACCTAATTAAACTAAAGAACTTCCGCACAGCAAAAGAAACTACCCACAAAGTAAATAGACAACCCACAGAATGGGAGAAAATATTTGCAAACTACCCATCTGACAAAGTTGGAATATCCAGAATCTATAAGGAACTTAAACACATAAACGAGTCAAAAATAATCCCATTAAAAAGTGGACAAATGGCTGGGCGTGGTGGCTCATGCCTGTAATCCCAGCACTTTGGGGACTGAGGCGGGCAGATCACTTGAGGTCAGGAATTCGAGACCAGCCTGGCCAACAGGCCATCTCCACTAAAACATACAAAAATTAGCCGGGCGTGATGGTGCACACCTGTAATCCCAGCTACTTGGGAGGCTGAGGCAGGAGAATCCCTTGAGCCTGGGAGGGGGGAGGTTGCAGTGAGCAGAGATCACACCACTGCACTCCAGCTTGGATGACAGTGCGAGACTGTCTTAAAAAAAAAAAAGTGGACAAAAGACGCTGATAGATACTTCAAAAGAAGACACACATGACCAACAGCATATGAAAAAATGCTCAATATCACTTATTATTAGAAAAATGCAAATCAAATCCACAATGAGATACTACTGCACACCAATCAGAATGGCTATAACTAAGAAGTCAAAAAATAACAGATGTTGGTGAGATTGCAGAGAAACAGGAACACTTGTACACTGCTGGTAAGAATGTAAATTAGTTCAGCCACTGTGGAAAGCAATTTGGCGATTTCCCAAAGAACTCTGAACTACCATTCAATCTAGCAATCCCATTATTGGGTATATACCCAAAGGAATGTAAATCATTCTACCATAAAGATGCGTGCACATGTATGTTCACTGCAGCACTAGTCACAATAGCACCAGTATGGAATCAACTATAGACTGGTTAAAGAAAATGTGGTACATTTGCAAATGGAATACTACACAGCCATAAAAAAGAATGAGATCATGCCTTTGCAGCAACTTGGATGGAGCTGGAGAGCATTATAAGCAAACTAACACAGGAACAGAAAACCAAATACTGCATGTTCTCATTCATAAGTTAGGGCTAAACATTGAGTACACATGGACACAAGAAAAGGAACAATAGATACTGTGACCTTTTGATGGTGAAGAGTGGGAGGAGGGTAAGGATTAAAAAACTGCCGAACCAGGTGCGGTGGCTCACTCCTGTAATCCCAGCACTTTGGGAAGCTGAGGCAGGCAGATCCTGAGGTCAGGAGATTGAGACCATCCTGGCTAACACGGTGAAACCCCGTCTCTACTAAAAAGACGAAAAATTAGCCAGGCATGGTGGTAGGCGCCTGTAGTCCCAGCTACTCGGGAGGCGGAGGCAGGAGAATGGCGTAAACCCAGGAGGCGGAGCTTGCAGTGAGTGGAGATTGTGCCACTGCACTCCAGCCTGGGCGACAGAGCGAGACTCCGTCTCAAAACAAACAAACAAAACAAAAAAACAAAAACAAAAACTACCTAAAAGGTACCATGCTTATTACCAAGGCGACAAGATAATTTGTACAGCAAACACTTGTGACACATAATTTACCTATGTAACAAACCTGCACATGTGTTTCTGAAACTAAAAGGTTTTTTTTTAAAGTTCCCTATTTGAAGAATTCCCTTAGAATTTTGAATCAGGGAAAAACGTATTTTCCTTGCATTGGTCTTTTCTATTAACAGGTATTGTGTAACCCATTATATTTCCCCTTTTTCCAGTGCTAGAATGTCCACAACCCATGGAACCTTTATTTACAGCACTGTTAGTCTTTGTGGTTTGCATACTTGTTTTTTTCACTTTTAAAGTTATTGCATTTTTATGCTTCTATAGATGGCTCTGATGTCTTTATATTCTTCCTTTCTTCTTTTCTGTTTTTCAGTTTTAATTATCTTTACTGTTTATTTGGGTTTTCTAATTCACAAAATCATTTTGAGAAAAAGTTATCTTTGTGATTCTCAGATACAGAAAGAAGCAACTAAGAGTCAAGTATTAGAATCTTCCTTTCTTGACTTTGTTGCAGATTCTGTTTTCCTTAGTTTAACTTGAATGTTGATCTTTCCTTATACACCCTATCAAGATTTTAAAAATAGGGGTTTATTTTTTATTTTAGACTCAGGCGGTATATGTGCAGGTTTGTTACATGGCTGCTGCTTCTTCTTTTTTTTTTGAATGGCAAATAGTGTGAATAATTAAGTAAACTGATATACTTTGAGCCTAGGCCATATAGGACCACGAAGTCTACACGTTTACTCCTAGCTAGGTGCAGAAGAAATCCTTTTAACTTAACATCTCCCAGATTTCAAAGGAAGCATCCCCTGGCATTGAGAGGCAGTGTAGTTAGTGGTTAAGGAGCCTGTGGCATCAGGAGCCTCTGTACCTGTGGCTTTAGTATGACTGTCCTCATTGCCCACATGAGGGCACCCCCTATGTAAGAGTTAAATGTGTGGATTGCTGGATGAGAGTGAAGGCTGAATTCCATCTTTGCTAGTACTAACTGTGAGACTATCTTTCTGATCCTTGGTTTTCTCATCTCCATGGTATGATAATAGCAATATTTATCTCACGGAGTGGTTGTAAAATTTAAGGCCAATGTACACGTAAAGCCCTGGACATGGTCTAACCCAGAGAGTGTCCAGTGAGCACTGATGGGCATGGGACTAGCTGTAGGCCACTTGTGAGATGAGGAGCTCAGTGGAAATTGAACCCATCTCTCCTGACCCCAGGCCAGTGCCCTGTCCAGTAAACCAGGTGATGTGTAACCCCATCCAGCCTCCCCCATCCTTGCTCTGTTGTCCCCCTGATGTGCTGGGTAACACATCTGTATTTTGATGCCCAGGGGCCTCCTGGAACCAGTGCCTTGGACCCGTGGAGAGGCTCCAAGGGTGGGATTTCCTGAGGGAAATTTCAGATGTTTTCCAGAACCTCTGCTCAGCCTGCCAACCTGGTCCCCAGGGGACTCTCTGTCCATGCATTTGCCTCTCCCACCTCACCACCCCGCCAGGCACTCAGTAGGGTCTCACCTGTGTAGTAATTTCCTGACGTTTCATCCAGAGGCCACTGGGTCCCAGGAGCCTCCTGCTCTCTGGGTGCTAGGCTGGGCTGAGGTGGGGATCCCCAGCTCGCCAGCACTGCTGTGGATGTGGGGGCATTGGGCGACTCCTGGCTTGGAGACTCAAAGTCTGGGGAGCTTGGGAAAGCTTGGTAGAGGAGTGAGGAAGAGATTTCTGGGGGGGATTAAAAGAAAAATGACCATTTACTGAACATTTATTTTCTTTTAGGTGCATATATTTTAAACTCTCACAACAGTCCTGAGAGATGGGTCTTAATAATATTATTTTAAAAACCATGTTAAAGTAGAGGGACAATTTTATTCTCTTAGTAGTGAAGAGAGAAGTCATGTGAGGGAGCTGGCTTGGGCCGAGGACTAAGCCTAGCCTCTTCTTGGGGTCTGTCTGGAAAACAGAGTCCTCCTCGGAACTTCTGGACCACCCTGACCCTCAGGATCTTCACAGCCCACCAATATTATGAGCCGAGTTCTCCTCGGGCAAGGACCATGTCACCCATGACACCCAGCTGGGTAAGACTCATGGCCTGACTCATACGGGTCTCAGCTTCCCCATCTGTCAAATGGGGAGGGGTGCAATCTCTCCCCTGAGGGGTCCCTGAAAGGTCACTTCCAGGCCTGCCTCTCACAGCCCACCCTGGCTCCCCTGTCCTTCCTCTGAGGTCCCCCATGTAAGGTCCCCATGCACAGACATGATCGTCTGGGCGGGGCCCACCAGCGGATTCGCAGCTCCACCCAGGGCTGTCGGCCGGACTCAGCAAGCCTCACCTCTCCAGCGGTGTCCAGATGTGTCAGGCAGCTGTCTCAAAACCCTTCTCTCTGAGCCCTGGGTGCACTCCGCTGGCAATTCACGGTTCCAGGGCCTCAGCACTGCGGTGGAGGTGGGTTGGCTGGGAGACCCCAGGTGGGGTTCACTCGGGCTGTAGGGGAAGGAGGGAGAGTAGCCTACAGGGAAGAGATAAAGAGGTTGGAGACACATTAGAGGGACAGGGCCAGGTGCCAGGGAACTGAGCAGGTCTCCTGTCTCAACCAAGAGAGGTCAGGATACACCAGCGAACCCGCTGCAGCCCTCTACAACCTCCTCTAGAGGCTTGTCTGAAGAATGACGCTCTTACAGATACTGCCAGGCAAAAAGTCCTGGTCTGGGGTCAGGAAATTTGCGTATCTGTCTTGGTCCTGACTACCTCCCTGCGTAAATCACTGCTCCTCACGAGCCTCAGCTGTGCTTCATTGGGCCAACGGCATCTGCCACCCAGGGTGGTGAATAGTAGTAACAGCAGCAGCAGCAACAACAGGGGAGATCTTATTTATTGAGCACTTACTGTATATCAGACTGTGCTAAATGTTTAACCTGGATGATCTCTTTTAACCCTCACACAGCCCAGAGAGGCAGGCTCTCACTCTCCCATTTTGCAGAGACACAGGCAGAGAGCATCGAAGTGATTGGCCCAGGGTAATAGTACCAGGACTGGGGATAAAGACTGACTCCCAAGTCTGTGCTCATAACTACAATGCCAGGCAAGTACTGGGAATGCGCTTGAATAGGAGACGGTGTGGGGCTCTGAGGTGAGCAAGGGCCCCCCAGCAAGCCTCCCGGCTCAAGTGTAGTCTGGGGCCTGGGTCCACCTTTGACAGGGCAGTTCCACGTCACTGCCCAGAGGAAGGCCTGGCAGGGAGGGCTCAGTGGTGGGGGGGGGGTTCCAAGAGGGCAGGGCAGGGCAGGGCAGGAGTGGGGGCCAGGGGATGTTCAGCGGGCAGAGGGGTCCTTTGGCTACTCACTTGCCCCTTCCCAGGCTTGGGTGCACAGTGACCACAGCCCCATCTGCTCCCAGGTGCGGAGGGCTAGGTCCCAGGCCCGCTGCTCCCCATACTGAGCCACCAGGTATGAGGCCACCTCCATGCCACTCGTCTTCTCCGGCCGAGCGGGTGTCTCACCTGAAGAGCCGCTGGAGTGCACTTTACTGGTGAACAGAAGCTGGAACTCCTTCAGCTCCTCCTTCTTCAGGAGCTCCAAGTAACAGGCCAGGCGGCCCCAGGCTCCGCCAGCCATCTCTGTCCCAGAATTCAGGGCGTGTCTGGGGGATGGTTCACGGGTGGTGAGGGTATCAGGCAGGCAGAGAACAGTGCTGTCCTTTGCCTTGCTCTTACCGTCTCCTATTCAGCATTCAGAGCCCAGTTTTACAAATCCCAGGGCACCTGCAGATAGATGCCGATGGAGGCGGAGTGGTAGGAAAAGCCAGGGGAGGGAGGGGCCCAGAGGGGCCTGCGAGACCCTGGAAGAAGTCAGCTGACAGGGAGGTGCTGGGATGGGGCCCAGGACCAGGCAGGGAGGGGGAGGGGGAGGGGAGATGTGGTGACGGGGGATGGGGTGTGGGCAACACTCACTGTTCTGTGTTCCTCAGATTCTTCCCTCTCCTGGGTCCTGGACTCCTGAGATCAACCGTGGAGCTGCAAGGCTGAGAAGAGGTGGGGTAGGAGGAGCCGCAGAGCAAGGAACAGGCTTTCAGAACCCAAGAGCGGAGCCCAGGGCTACTGGCTCCCAGGTCTCGTCAGACCTCTCCTGGCCCTGGGGCACCGACCAGCAAGAACAGCCCGCAGTCAACAAGAGTGGGAAGGAAATGTCACCACCCCCTCCACCCGGAGGAAACTCACAAGGGGCGTGGCCAGGGGGTAGGCTCAAACCAGGCCTGGGTAGACCAGACTCAGAGTCACATATTCAGATGGGCCACGTGACATCTATAGGCCGACCAGGGGCACAGGCCCAGAGTAGCTGATGCTGCAGCAGGTATACACCCATACTACACACGGGCACTCCGCCCGCCCGTCACCTAGAGACTGTCTGCAGAGCCAGGATGCAGAGACTCTCCAAGCAGTTGTGTCTACAATCCAGGACCAGCCTCTCAGGATGGGCGGGGACTCCTGTGTCTGCCCTGGCAGCTCCTTATTGGGAAACATTAGAACTGGGCCAGGGAGCATTTTTCCCAGCCTCTCATGGTTTTGGGAGCTTGTTGAGTTGCACTGCATGTCCTGCCATGCTACCAGGGGCACTGAGGCATGTGTCCCAGGCCCAGGGCGCTGTTTGCCTTGTGGGCAGCCCAGCACTTAGCTGGTGAACACTTCCACCTGAAAGCAGAACCGCTCCTTCCTCATTCTCGCAAGCAGGCCTCGGGGAGCTAGGTGCGGACTTCCTCTTTGGTGGAATCTGCAAGATGCCGCTGACTCCAGGTTGAGGAATGACATTACCCAACTCATTTGCTGATGTAACACACCACCAGGAATTTCTGGAGATGCTTTGGTTTCACTTGAACTGGCAGAGCCCAGGCTTCAACCCACGGCTTGCTTGGACAAGGACTCCTTATGTGCCTGATTTATTTGTTTGAGCCTCAGTTTGCCCATCTATTAAATGAGACATCATAGGTTTACCAAGAGGCTTCAATTCAGCAAAAGGTCTTAGAGTCTTTCTCTATCGCCCAGGCTGGAGCGCAGTGGCAAGATCTCGGCTTACCGCAACCTCCGTCCACCTCCCGGGTTCCAGCGATTCTCCTGCCTCAGCCTCCTGGGCAGCTGAGATTCCAGGTGCGCACCATCACACCCGGCTAATGTTTTTTCTAATTTTAGTAGAGATGGGGTTTCACCATGTTACCCAGGCTGGTGTTGAACTCCTGATCCAAGGTGATCTGCCCACCTTGGCCTTCCAAAGTGTTGGGATTACAGGTGTGAGCCTCTGTGCCTGGCCTAAATAAATTTTATAAATGTTAAGTTTTTAAAAATGGCTAAGAAGCACATTGTAGGGCATTCTAACATCAGACTGACCAGAAGTGAAAAAGCGCTGTGCTAAAAGTGGGATGATCAGGAGGCTCTGAGCACTCCGTGAAGGACCCTAAGACTCCCTATAGTGGGAGGAATGGCCTGGGGGAGGGCTATGTGGGTTCTTTTTCCTCAACACCAGCCAGTTCTGACACCAACTTGTGTCCTACAGTGCAATTCTGACACTAACTGCCTGGAGTCGGCATCAAACCCCACAGGTTTAGGGGCTCAGTGAAGGGCTGGCCTCATATCAGATGCCAGTTGCAAATGGGGTGCCTAGACCGCTGGCACCTCTGACTGACTTGGTGACAAATGCAAGGGTTTCCACAGCCTCTGGCAAGTTCAATAATTTACCGAAATGACTCAGAGGACTGAGAAAAGCACTTTATTACTATCGGTTCATGATGAAAGACAGCTCAGGAATAGCCAAATGGAAGAGATGCCAAAGTCAAGATGTGGGTGGGGGAGGGGGCACAGCGCTTCCTTGCCCTCCTGGGCACCCCATTCTCCCTGCCCCTTCCTGCTTCACTAACCTGGAAGCTCTCCAAACCCCAAACAAACAAAACTGTGGGGTTTTCTTGGAGGTTTCACCTCATAGGCATAATTGATTAAATCACTGGCCACTGGAGATGCACTCAACCTGTTAAACAGATCAGAAACCTGACCCATCCCACTATGCCCACTGGGGCCGCGGGTCCAGCCCTCAATCGTCTCTTACCGGGATCATTGTGCTAGTCTCCCACGTGTTCCCCACCCATGCTGACGCTGCCCCTTTACCGTCTACGCTCCGTCTAGCAGCCAGAATTATCCACTTAAAGCATAAATTAGGTCAGGTCACTTCTCAGCTCAAAACTTTCCCATACTCCCCCATCTCACTCTGAGTAAAACCAAAGTCCAACCAAAGGCGCGGTGACTCATGCCTGTAATCCCAGCACTTTGGGAGGCTGAGGCGGGAGGATCACTTGAGGCCAGCAGTTCAAGACCAGTCTGGGAAACATGTCAAGACCCTGTCCCTATGAAATAATATTAAAAAACTTCCCAAATCCGGCCAGGCACAGTGGCTTATGCCTGTAATCCCAGAACTTTGGGAGGCTGAAGTGGGCAGATCACCTGAGGTCAGGAGTTCAAGACCAGCCTGGCCAACATGGTGAAATCCCATCTCTGATAATACAAAAGAAAAAAAAAATTATCCTGGTGTGGTGGCGCACGCCATAATCCTTAAGGAGGCTGAGACAGGAGAATCGCTTGAACCCAGGAGGCAGAGATTGCAGTGAGCCAAGATCATGCCATTGCACTCCAGTCTGGGCGACAAGAATGAAACTCAATCTCAAACAAAACAAAACAAAACAAAAAACCAAACAACAACAACAAAAACTTCCCAAATCCCCCAAAGTCCTCCCAGTGGCTCCCGGGGGCTGCATGATCTAGCCCCTGATATCTCTCCGGCATTATCTCCTACACTATCTCCCTCTCTCTCTCTGCTCTGGGTCCTCGTAATCTCTTGCCTGTTCCTTGAATACGCCAAGAATACTCTCACTCCAGGGCCTTTGCACTAGTCTTTCCATTGTCTTGGAATGGTCTCCCCAGATATTGAGAGGTGTGCTATCCAACCGCCTGCTAAGTAGTAGGTGGGTGCTTCATTTCTCTGCACGACACTTATTACTGCCTGATGTTACAGACTTGTTTATCTTCTGTCTCCCCCTCCTGCCAATAGAATGTTAGGTCCCTGGAGACAGGACTTTGCTTGTTTTGTTCGCTGTTGTATCCGCTACGCCTAAATCACAGCCTGGCCCACAATGTCAGCACAATCAATGCCACAGACATGGAATGTCTTTTGAACCCTTTCCTTTTTATCCTTCTAAACAGCTACTCACTCTAGCCACTAGATGGCACTCAAGTACTTTCTGTGCATTGAAGCAGCCTCATGGGTTTGGTGGCGAGGACTCACTGGCCCTCTCTGAGCCTGAAGTTTTAAAGTTATCTCTGTTTCTGGTGCTTTGGGTCTTTGTTTTTTTTCTTTGAGGCATTTTAGGAACGTATTAAGGCTCACTTTTATTCAAGTCATGCTATTTTCAATGAAAACTTAACTCATGAGGAGTATCTGTATGGCGAATACTCCAGCAGAGTACAGTGAGGCTTTCTCTTTACGTTCAAATTACTATGACTTGAATCCAGATCTGGGTAACTTCTGGAAATCAGCCTCCTTGAAATTCCCCTCCTCCCACCTATTTCTAAGCATGTCCCAGACATTACCTCTTGGGGTTCTGAAGTCAGTCCTCGGTTCCCCTCTGACCGACTACTGGTCTTGACTATCTTGCTGTCGTCCCCTTGGTCTCAGACCCCGTTTCTATCCTCCTGAAGTTGCTGGGTCCACGTGTCCTCTCTGTCACAACCATTTTAGGGCATGGCTCTTTTCTGGCCCATTCCTGAAATGTGGGACGGGGTTTTCCCAATTGATAGCACAGCTGACACCATGATATGAGGATACGATTTTGAGCAAGACCTTCCGCAAGGATCAGGGATGAAGGACGGTAAATACATCAGGGCGTCACTCTCCATAGCTGTGGCTCACACTATCCTCAGAGCCCTCTGGTCCAGGATCATCCCTGCTGTCTCTTTTCCAGCTGGAGCTCTCTGCAGCTCTGGCGGTTTCCATTATACATGGACAGGTCATTGCCCAGCCTCAAGATTCTCCAGCCTCCTCTGCCCTTTGGAGGCCAGGTCTGTCTGGCTCTAATACTTAGAAAGAGAACAAGTTGTCCTACATTCACATCACTCCTAGCACAGGCCCCAGGATTATCCTCCTTCCAGGATGATTGACATAGAAATATCTAGTCCCTTCAGATGTGTGCTTGGTATTGTTGGAAATAAGAGCTTGGAGTCACAAAGAAAATGAGCACTCAAATAAAGGATTTCTCAGCAAGGCAAATTTACTTCTGGAGAATGGTGCCACTTGCCCTTCTGGCCACTGCAAGAGCACACTGAACAAAGCAGGGAAGGGGTTTTTATCCCTAACACAGTCAGTCCCTGATACTGTGTCCGGTCCCCATTGGCTGCAGTTGGACTGTACAGTCTAAGCTGATCCTGATTGGCTACTTCCAACGGAGCAGGGGTGGGGACTACCGCAGTGGAAAGAGCAGTTTTGGCCAAATAAAGTACAGATGTGGGTTGTTACAGATTGGGAATGGATGTGGGTTGTTACAGATTGGGAATGGATGTGGGTTATAGATTGGGAATGGATGTGGGTTATAGATTGGGAATGGATGTGGGTTATAGATTGGGAATAGATGTGGGTTGTTACAGATTGGGAATGGATGTGAGTTACAGATTGGGAATGGTTGCGAGTTACAGATTGGGAATGGATGTGGGTTACAGATTAGGAATGGTTGCGAGTTACAGATTGGGAATGGATGTGGGTTGTTATAGATTGGGAATGGATGCGGGTTATAGATTGGGAATGGATGTGGGTTGTTACAGATTGGGAATAGATGTGGGTTGTTACAGATTGGGAATGGATGTGAGTTACAGATGGGGAATGGATGTGGGTTACAGATTGGGAATGGATGTGAGTTACAGATTGGGAATGGATGTGGGTTACGGATTGGGAATGGATGTGAGTTACGGATTGGGAATGGGTGTGAGTTATAGATTGGGAATGGGTGTGAGTTATAGATTGGGAATGGGTGTGAGTTACAGATTGGGAATGGGTGTGGGTTACAGATTGGGAATGGATGTGGGTTACAGATTGGGAATGGATGTGGGTTACAGATTGGGAATGGTTGCGGGTTACAGATTGGGAATGGATGTGGGTT